GCTTTAACCTTATCATCGAGGATGATTCTGCTTAAGAATGGCCGAATAGCACAAAAGGTTAAAAGGGTTTCCCCAAAGCACTTACAACATAACAAGAACGCGCAGCATCCAACACAAGATTAATACTCGTCGGTGGCGACACAAATGTTAATAAGCTCTTTCTACAATGTTAAACCAGTTATCTAAACAGGATTTAAAACCTGAAGGTAGCATAAAGTAAATTGAATTTATAGTTTTACTGTTTATTGGTACAAAACCAAAATGCAACAATACCCATTACAACACAGCGTGTGCATCAAAACGAAAACAACAAAGACCCCCAGAAAGAAGGGCCAAACCCCCCGCAGAGCAAAAACATAATTTCGGGACGAGAGAAAAGACGAAAAATGCGACGCGAATAATTGCAAAATAGGAACGCAAATAGGAAGGAAACGGACGCGACCCTATGATGACAGCCAAACACAGGAGGCAACGCCTTCAATTTGCTCGAAACTATTCAAATTGGACAATCAATGATTGGAGTGATTTTCGTTGATGAAACAAAAGTTGGTATTTTTCCTTCAAATCGAAATCGCCTGATCCGACGTCCTGTCAGAAAGCGATATCAACTCAAATACTTGCAACCTAAGGTGAAAAGAGGCGGAGGATCAATTATGTGTTTCGGTAAGGATAATTTTCTTTTTTTTCGCTTGTCCTCGTAAAGTCAACAATGGATTCCCGCCAATATATTGAGATATTGGACAGATGTCTACTTCCATTTGCGACTGCTTCGATGAATCCAGGATGGTTTCTTTATCAAGATAATTCGCCAGTACACAAAAGCAAATTTTTGATGGACCGCGTTGTGACTCTCTCGAATGGAGGAAAAGCACATTTACCGGGATGGTTTGGGATCAATCACGTTTCTTTGATCAAAGCTCCACCATTCTCATCGGATTTAAATGTTATCGAGAATTTATGGGCCTATTTGAAATCGAAATTGCGAGGAAAACGTTTCAATTCTAAAGTCGAGCTATAGTTTTACATCAGAAAAATTTGGAAGACGATTGGACCTGGAATTCTTGATGAATTAATTAGATCGATGACTACTCGTGTTAAAGAAGTACTTTTGTCAAAAGGAGGACCGAGAAAATATTGTTTATAGCTTAATTTCGTCTTGTGTTTAAAGACTTTTGCACCACGATTTTCAGGGATGTTTTGACAATTATATTTTTTTCTCGATGAATAGTTAACACTAAGTTTTGTATAGCGACAGCGTTTGTGTAAATAAATTGTACATATATTTGTGTAACGAAAACTATTAATAGCTTGAAGAGCGCCATGAACTTTATCAAAGAAAATCGATGTAAATTTTTAGAAAATTGAGTGTTAAAAGACTTTTGCACATGACTGTATTGTGGCTGACCTTTTGAAAATCGTCAATTTGAGTCAAGCATTTGTGAATAGCAGGTCGAGCTGTGTGATCAAAAACTGTGCAACTAAATAAGATTCAAAATCAAAAGTTAAATCAAAAGTTCTGCTTTTTGTTCCGAATGGCAAATTCGGATCGTTGATTACAGCTTCTTAAACTTTCCTTGAAAAACTCGTCTAGCTGAACAATGATGAACTCAGAACTCACTCTAGTATCATTTGTTTGAGAGTTTCGTCACAGTGTGGCGATGGCAATTGAACATTTCCAAGTTGAAAATCGGAGAAAAAGGTGAAATGATCAAATTGACTCACTCCATATTTAGCATAAACAACTCTAAACGCTTGATCAAGCTGGCCATATCTAATTGGACCATAACTATCCTGACAATGTATTTGAAAGCAATAAGTGCCTGATATACATTAATATTGAATATATTTTCTTTATTTTAAAACTAAAGATTCTTTGCTACAAGAATGATACCTCAATTATGAGAATTGGTCCGATATTCGTCGATTTGGCATTTGTTGTCAAATTATCAATTACCTCTAAAAAGCCAGAAAAAGTCAAAATATGGACTCGAACCCAAGAGGGTTTGCCTTGTATTCTAGTCGACTACCACTCGGTCACTACTGCTTTAATGGCGTCCTGGAAAATCCGCTGGTAAACTCGAGGGATGCTTTTTAAAATTTCATACATAACTTTGAGCGCTTATAACTTTTGACAGAGTGCTCCGTAGCAGAAACGGAAAACAGATTCGGAATCAGCGCAAAATTCTACGTTGGCCAGTATATGGTTCGTATCATTTCCCCACCATCAAGCACTTATTACTTTCAAAAACTTTGTCACGACAACTATGAGCTGAGGTTTTGACGAACTCTCGCTCAGATATCTCCCAAAGCACTAATCCAATCGAATACACGTCGCTTTGGTGAGTAAACTAGAAAATCTTTTCATTATTATTCTAGTTTAGTAATAAAGTTGGGTAATAAAGTTGGGTAAAAGTTGGGTAAGCTGCTCTCAATCTCTTACCCAACTTTTCGTTGCCATCTCCGGACTCATGTATCGATAAGTGCCAATCATAGTCACCGTTCCTGTGTTATTCAGCTCTCTCACACAACCGAAATCGCAAATTTTCAAAATAAAATCCCCTGTCACAAGCACACTAAAAATGAGATAAAAAGAAAAAGAGTGCTTGATCACTTTTCTGGCTTTAAGTCTCGATGCACGATGTGGTTCTCTTGTAAACATTGAAGTGCACGGAAGAGATGCTCGGCCCAGCAGATCACCGTTTTTTGATTGTAAATTATTGTTGTATCGTTGATCACTGAACATAATAGTTGCAACTAGGGCAGAGGAATCATCAAAACTTGTACGCCGTCGGGACTCAAACCCGTGACCTTTCACTTACCGGGCAACTCTGCTAACCATTACACCACAACTTACCTAATCTCCTTTACTCCAGAGGAAGTTAACTTAATCTTGTATATTCTTACAATGTCATTCCTTAATTATTTTATGTAAAGCGGTAGAATTTCACTGATCAATAACATTGTTGGTGTCAACCACCTCATCAAAGAAACTTTCAAAAAATCAGCTCCCTTTCAAAAACTAAAACTAAAACTCATTTTGAAAATAAATTCACCCTGACGCAATGATTTCCTTTCACAATATTCCATCTTGATTACAAAATATGAAATGACATCTTCGTGGATCTCTGTTAGTGCATAAAATTGTACAATGTTTGAATGCGATAGCCGCTTCATTGCTAGCCATTCTCGTTTCAACTTTTCATCCTCTTCCTCATTCCATGTGCGTTGAATCCATTTTGCGGCGATTTTACTGAATTCAAAGAGTCTATGAATGTTTTTTGAGTGACTGAAGCTGGTGTTTTTATTTTCTGTACAATGAATGTCATAAGCATATGCCCAGGAGGAAGAAAAGAAGTTGAAAGAAGTTGAAAGAAGTTGATCAGAAAAAAAAAAAAGGAAAGTTGATCAGTTCTTTTCTTGCACTATCATTTTTGAAAAAGTGGAAACACTTTTAAAACTTACTGTTCGCCATCGAGTAGCTCAACAAAGCCGAAATTTCCTCTTCCAATGATCACTCTTTCCGCCATTTAGAAACAAATCAATGTTTAAAGCTTGTCGAAAAATATATATAGACAAGGGCTTTTTTTTGAGTCAAAAACGCTTATCAAAGCGGCTGAAAGAGAACGAATTGCAAGGAAATTGCCGGTCAACTGTCCGCATTTTCTTGCCTTAACATTTTCTTCTAATCAAAAGATCTTGCAATCGAAATTCACTTGCATTCAAAGTACATTTTATTACACTGAGATTAAAAAAATGTTCCTAAATAAGTGTTCAAAAAGCAGCTTATGGTAAGGTCTAATCTTGAGATGAATGCTTTAAAGTAAATTGGTTTCATTGGTTGATAGAAGAAATCACAGCCCTACAAGAGCTTGCCTTAAAACTTGATTCAAAGTTCAGCTTCTGTTTTTGGCAGAGATTAAGACTAGTAGATAAGTGTGGGTGTTTATTGGAAATGTTATTTGAACAAACAGCCAACGGGAGGAGAAATTGACAAAATCCGGGAAAACTATCATCAAGCTGTTGTCGAATTTTGTGGGGGAAAAAGTCAACAGAAAGCACAAGTCAGCTGAGTTAAGCTGTTTTTTTTTGGAAACACCCTTTCTGGCGCTTTAACAAACAAACAAACAAATAAACAAACAAACAAATAAACAAACAAGCAATTTAACAAACAAATCAATGCACTAGAAGTTATGTGTTTCTAGGTTAATAGTTAAAATCAACCCAAATTTAGTTTGCGTTGACGACAACGAATCACTATATTTATCTATTGGAAAGCTAGGAGCTTTTCTTCAACCCCATCATTTGTTTCTTCAACCCCAACAAGGACATCAAAGTGGTAATCGGAATCTGAGATATATCTAAAAAAAAAGCCGTGAATTTAAGCTCGATGTTGTTTACTTGTTGCTCAATTTGCTCAAATGTTATCAAATGTTTATCGTGTTTGACACGATAAACATTTGATAAAATTTGATAAAATAGCTTTTCTTGCTAATTTCGGAGTTAGGAAGCTGTTTTGAGTGTGCTCAAAGCAGAAATCTTGATTTGATTTTGAAACACAAACGTTTGAGAAGGCTGTTTATATGTTTTTACAACGTGTATAAAATCACAAATACCTCACAGTTGAATCTGAAATTTTGCAATGATTTGTGGATTCCCTCAAACGGGAATCCGTTCCAAAATTTCCCAGACTCTTTGCGTCTCGGGCTTAGTACTAACCTTAAAATTAGGTAATCAAACCAAAGAGAGCCGTTTCTGTCGCCCTATCTAGCTGGACAGTGTGCCAGAAAGGGGACGATTGTGTCCCACAACAAAAAACACACCATGGTTTCCAATTTTCACCTCAATTTCGTCTCGATTCTTGGGAAGTCTATCGGAAATTGTTCCCTCATCAACGAGCGCCATTTCCCCCAAGTAACAACATATCTTTTTCCAAAATTTTCTCCACAGTGCCCAAATGAAACCCCGATTTTGTACCATTGTTTCACAGTGTTTCACTCATTGAAACACCCCAAAATCGTTAAAGACGGGGCGAACGTTCAGCGAGATGCGAACTGAGATGGAAAAGTGAACCATTCCAAGATAAACAGCAACAACACGGATCGTGTCTCTGCATTTGTGCATCCCCTAAACGGGGACACGTTCCAAAATTTTTTCGAAACACTCGTGGAAGGGTCTCGGGGTTAATGCTAACCTCAAACTTGGGTAATTAAACCAGGGAAGGCTGTTTCTGGCATGGTTTGCGCTCAGCCAGTGTGCCAGATGCCGCTTTTTCGTACGAGCGACATGGAAGGTACGCACTGTTCGCGCCGTCTCTTGTCTCTCCTCTTAGCCATCCCTTTCCAAACCCAACTTTCACTTCGACATTGATATTCAGTATTTAGTTGTTCTTTTAGATGATCATTTTTCTCAAATTCCACGAGTTTACTTCATAAAAACAGTCAAATTTCACTTTTTGATCCTTTTCCTTAATGTGTATTTTTAAACTACAAGAAAAAGGGTCTTTTTGTAGTTTGCTTGTTGCTGGGGGTGAATGTTCAAATCGGCTTTCTTTTTCTTGTTTACCCTTTCTCTTTCATTTCTCCACAGCAGGGTTTTTCCTTTGTGCGATTTCGAGTTTCCGTGCTTGGCAAGCTTACAAAAGTCACTATTTAAAAAGTGAAAACTAGGATTTTTTCAGGAAACTTGGTTTTATATCAATGAGTGAACTTTTGCTTTTAAATGATCTCTTTTCCTTTTTGATTTGATTCATTTTCCGTTGAAAACTAAACTCTTTTTTTGACTAAATTAGGAATTTCTTTTATTTCAGATGTCATATCATAGTAGGAATTGTCAAACTCTTAGAAATCTCTCTAAAATGTTTGACTTATTTGAAAATTCCATGTCCAAGGCTGTTAACAGAGACATTTTTGTCCCAAAAGTCGTTTTTTGAAAGCCAAAACTTTTTTCCAACTATTTCTAGAAAGATTTCCAAGCACTATTTGCAAATTCCATTTCTAAATTTGTTTGAAGCAATGAGAAATCTGTGAATGAATCAATGCTGGTAACAACAGTCATTTTGGTCAATTTCATGAACTTCTAAACCTCAAATTTTACATTCCTATGTAAGAAAAGTGTCGATTTCACCATTGCATTTCAATTTTTATTTTTTTTTTTGAAAAAATTCACTACTCCAAGCACGATAAGAAACGATTAGAAAAAGAGGAAAGAGCTACGGATTTTTCCACAGAAAAAAAAAACGCAAAAACCCCAAAAAAAACCGAGAAAAACAAGTCAATATGAGAGAAATCGAAGAAAAGAAGAATTAGAAAGGAATGAGAGAAAGAAGATTGCAGAAAAAAAATTGCCAAAGATTTCCACGAATCTCTTCTCCATTTTCTTTTCTCCCTTCTCCATATTAAAGCCTCTTTTCTCTTTCCCACTCAGAGAATTCATTATTTTGATTGCCCAAAATATTTTACAAGGAACGCGATTCCCATAGAGACCAAAACAAGTTTAAATTGAACTCTTTTTTTGATGAAAATCTTTGGAAAAGGAATCGTCGTTTGGCACTTTTGGTCGTTACAAATTGATTCCATTTTCGAGTTGTTTACTTCGTTCTCTTTCAAAAAGTGGCAAAAAGAAATGCTGATTCTTACCATTTCTAAATCTTTCTAATCAAGGAATTATGTAAATTTTAAAACTTAAAAAATTCTTTAAACAGCATCACTGTGGCTGCTGGGTAAACTTGATAGGATCTGAACCATTTTACGAGATTCTTGTACTTTGGTACTTCGATATTTCGATACTACAGATTACTTTTCACCATTGTTGAAACACTTTCATACTCGGGAGTGGGACAAATGCGACCTTTTTTTTGCGCACCTGGACATTTGCGCACCTTTTTTTTGCTAGAAAAGGCCTTAGGAAAGGTCGTAGAGCTTCAAAAAAGTTTTCATAGAAGGGAATCGTATGCGTAGATTCCGAATTTCGACAAATCAGATTTCGCTGACACGTCAAATTTGGACTAAAAGGCAAAAACTACGCAACTTAACGCTTTTCCGCATTTTTTGCCCTTTAGCCCAAATTTGACGTGTCAGCGAGGTCTGATTTGTCGAAATTCGGAATCTACGCATACGATTCCCTTATATGGAAGTATTTTCGAAATATTTTCGAAGCTCTACGGCCTTGCCTTGCCTTTTCCAGCAAAAAAAAGGTGCGCAAATGTCCAGGTGCGCAAAAAAAAGGTCGCATTTGTCCCACCCCCTTCATACTCTAACAATACTGTACAGTAAAATCCCAATGCCCGCAGTTCGAGTTGGCAACTTTCCAAGCCTAAATTCTAAAATACACCTAAGCTACCGTACTCGAGATGGCGTCTCCCTATCCCAGGAAGTTCCATCCCTTCAAAATTCATTTTTCTGAAGAATCGTTGTCCGGTCCAGCGCCTCGCCGTGTATTTTCCGCCTATATGTTTTTCTATCCCCTTATAAAATTATGTTTATTTTTAAAATTTCCCGGGGTAGGCTAATTTCCGCCATTTTATTTGCGCAACAGGGTCATTTGCACAACTGGATCTTTGGCGCACCTCGTCATAACTTTCTTCTAAGTGGGCCAATCTTTATGATTTTGGTGTCATTTTGTTGCACTCATTGAGATCTACATACCCCAATTTCCCCTCCTCCTTTTATTGTTTTCACCCCTTCTTCCCTGTTTCTTTTAAAATTGTTAAAGTTTTAAAGTTTCTCTACTTTTCCCGCTCTTTGCACTTTGTTAGTCTTTTTGTTTTCTGTTTTATTTTGTTGGTCTGTGGTTTCCAACCTTTCATATTACCGATAAAGTTCATATCTAAACAACTTTTCTCTATAAACCCCAGTCGATCTAACCCGGCCACAAATCTTTTGTTATTCCTCTTGTTTTGGCAAACCATTTGGAATTAGTGTTTCTGGGTTAAAAGATTTAGCCGTTTGGGTAAGATTTCGATCCAGAATTTGGATGTTTAGAACAGTAATACGTTGTTGAAATATTGTTGAAATTGTTGAAACATTTTTAGACTCTGTATTTTTCAAATTTCATTTTTTACTGTAAAAATCTCATTCAGAACATGTCGTTAGCCGGTCAGGTGGCCCTTGTAACTGGTGCTTCGAGGGGGATCGGGAGAGGGATCGCCTTGCAACTTGGACAGGTTAGATATTTAATGCATAGCTGAGCTGGAATTGGTCGGAACTGGGTACGAATTGATAAAATGGTAGCAAGAAGAGATGCATAATTAGAAACTGGGATCCTTACCAACCAGTAGCAAAAACTGTTTCAGTATAAAGGTAGCCTAAAGGGACATTGAAGTAAAGCTAAAACTAAAGATTTCCAGCTAAAAATGATAAAATAATGTATTTTTTAAACATATCAGCTTCTTTACCAATCTCTTTCCAGGCTGGAGCCACCGTGTATGTGACAGGACGTCAGCCAAAAGAGAGCGATGCCACAAAATTGGACTCCTACTCTCTACCATCATTGGAAAAAACGGCCAAGGGTAAATATTATTAAAAATATAACAAAAATAACAATTAGCATTTAAGATATATTTTATTTTAACAATTTATCACCTCATAGAGTTCTTGTTCCAGAAATCACGGAGCGTGGTGGGAAAGGAATCGTCGTTTACTGTGATCATGGAAATATGGACAATGTCAAGGTGAATTTTTATTCAAATAATATTTGATTTGTATGTGATACTGAAAATTCAATTATAGGATCTCTTTGGAAGAATTGACAAGGAAAACAACGGAAAACTGGACATTCTCGTGAATAACGCGTACTCTGCAGTTACGGTAAGTGAAGGGGAGAAAGGTGTTGAGATTCAAATGTTTCTAGGCAATCTTCGAGGGCACTGGAAAGAAATTCTATCAACAAGAGGCTGAAGTTTGGGATGAGGTGAGTGACGGAGTTTTTCTGAATTTTGTACCTACAACCAGACGGTTGACTTATTGCCACTTGGTGTTCTTTGTGCTCAGAAATGGAAACGCACTCTTTCTGGCGGATTGTTTAACACTAAGCTAAAATTTGTGAGCTTTTCACTTGTAAAACACAGAGTGGAACAAGGCAAGACTAAAATTGCTAAAACCCAGCTAAAACCGGACCACACCCCTCTAATTTGCAGGAATACTCTACGATAGATATATTAGGATATATCTATAGTACAGTAAGGCAACTATGTTAAAATAGGTATAGCTATAATACAATATTCCCTTTTCTTGAGCCAATGCATTCCCAGGTGAACAACGTGGGTCTCCGGAATCACTACTACTGCTGTGTGTATGGTTCGCGAATGATGGTGAGAAACAAGAAAGGTCTCATCATCAATATCAGCTCTCCGGGTGGATTACGGTAAGTAGGGCACTGTATTTGATTTTCAAAATAGTCATTTTCAGATATCTCTTCAACATCCCTTACGGTGTCGGGAAAGAGGCTTTGGATAGAATGTCGGCTGATATGTCGAAAGAGTTGCGACCGGATGGGGTTTGTTTTGAATTAATAGCTAAATCATATATGCGAATAGATGAATAATGGATAGATCTAAAGAGGAAAGAGTTGGATAATCACAATGTTAATATTCCAGGTGACGGTAATCAGTTTGTGGCCGGGAGCCGTGCGAACGGAGCTCGTCATTGGCATGCAACAAGCCGATCAGAGTGGAGCGCACTCGCAGGTAAGACAGAAGTTGACTAGGAAACTACGTCAACTCGGCCTCGATTTAATATTGTAACCTATTGTAAAAACGCTCTTTTGACATTCTAAGATATACGTGTTTTTATTTCTACACCATGGCATACAGTTTTCGAGAAAAACGCGTTCAAAGTTTGCGCATATTTTGGAAAAACGGCGCCGTTGCGGTATGAACGAGAATTACTACCGGTCGAAAAGCAACCGGTGGCGTAACGGTTCGAATCCCTTCACCGTCAACTCTTTTTTTTTGTTAAGCTGCGAAAACTCATTTTAAAGTGTTAAAGGACATTAATAAGCTTTAAAAGACTCCTAAAGAGCATTTAAACCGACTATTGCACTTTAGAACAAAGGTTCAATTTCAATTTCAGACAGCAAAGATGTTCGCCGATGGTGAGACGATCGAATACCCAGGAATCGCGGTGGTTCGCTTGGCCGGGGATAAGGATAAGATGCTGCTCACAGGGAGAACCCTTCTCACCGCGGATCTGGGCGATAAATATGGATTCGTGGATATTGATGGTGGGTAAAAGATGACTATTGCATATAAGATGATAGAAAGAACCAATTTGGACAACTTTTTTCATGTTTAATAGTAAAGCAAGAAGTGTAATCTAATATGATATAGTTCAAGGTATCAGCAGAATTTATCGTAATTTTTCCACAGATCACACAGTACTTGATAGTTGAAAAGGCTTGTACACTAAAACTGGTTTGGATTTAAATCAGCAAGAGAGATAAACAAGCTAAATACAAATATATGTAGCTTCTTGAGTTGAATTCTGAGCTTTACTAACATTAAGCCTTAATTTGTAGATTGATAGAAAAACCTAATGGAAAAGAAACTTCAGGCCGTACCCCACCAAACCTTCGCTCGGTGTCTCGTTTATTGAACTACGGTGGATGGAAGGGTCTCTCTGATTGGGTTCCCCATTGGGTCCGTCTTCCCGGATGGTATATGGGGCGCGCAAACTCGAGACTATAAAGGAAAAAGAACTTTGTGGGAAATACCTAAATGAACTTCATGATTTTTTTTATAACACCCACTTTTTCATTGTGATTTGATGTGTTCTATTTATTCTTTGTGTTTCCATGACCATGCCATATCGTTAGAATCAAGATTTTGAATGACAAGGCTTTTAGGAGTCATTTCATAAAACATAAAAAGTACAGGAATGAAGAAAGACACGATGATTAGCAAGAAGATGGACTAGATTGGGCTTTTAACATATCCGCTTTAAAATCTTTGAGTCGCTTTTTGACGGTAGTTTTGGTTAGAGGAAAGTCAACCTGTCACTTCATGTCTACTATTGAACCTATTGAAGTAGGCTCTACTTTTCCGCTTTCCTTTTAAATATTCGATAGCCTACTCGTAAATACTTTTTTCTTACTTGTGAAGTAAGATCAGTTAGTATTGTGGAAGTTTCACAAGATTGAGAAAAATGAAACGTTTTCCCAAGGAACAGTTGAGGTGACAAAAGGAGAAAAGAAAGGAGTGATTGGTTGAGTGAATCAAAGAGGAGTGACACTGCACACTTTTGAATCCAAGTCGATACTTTTGTATTCACTCTATGTGCTAATTTTTGTAAATGGTTACGAGATACTTTGCAATTTTGCGGACTCATAAAGAAAGTCAAATTGAATGGCTTAGTAAACGTTAGTTGACGTTTACTAAGCCCAAGTTCAATTTGACATCGTTTCGTTTCGTGGATTCAATTTTAAGATTTTAAGAGCTCGTCATTGGCATGCAACAAGCCGATCAGAGTGGAGCGCACTCGCAGGTAAGACAGAAGTTGACTAGGAAACTAAACTTCGTTTCGTGGATTCAATTTCAAACAAAAATTTTAAGATCCGGGGTAAACTTTCAAAAACCAAAATCAAAAACCAACCAACCAAATGCCCAAAAATGTTTTTCTTGTTAATAGAACTTTGCCAGGCTTCGATCCTCTTGGCTTTGCCGCTGTTTGCGTGTGGTAACTAAATTTTATAACTATACCAGCAACGAATAAACAAGGTAATGCACGAGTAATGCAAGAACATAAACGCATCACGCTCGGAAAGCGCGCTCACCTCAGAATATCGCATTCTGAAATAAAAAACTTTTGATAGTATCCTAGTTGGGGGACCACTTTTTTCTTCAAAACCACATGTGGGTTGGGCATCTGCCGGACTCAAATTAACACATAAAACTACCTCAAAAAATGGTTTTGAAGAAAAAAATGACCCGCCAACTAGGATATTATCAACATTTCTAATTTCAACATAAAAAAATTTGTATAAAAGCTACGTTTCTTTTTTTTCTTAGAAATTCGTAGAAATCTCAAACACAAACCAAACCAAACCATTGGGTAAACAAAGAATTCCGCTCAGATTTCCAGGAGCTTCTCTTATCATTAATTTTTGGGGGTGACAAAAAATTGGGCGCACCAAAAGATTCCCACTTTTTGAAAATTGCGCCACACGACCCCCAAACCCTTATGATCTATTCTTTATCTTTTCACAAGCAATCAGCTCAATTATTTTTGACCATCCTTGATCTCATTTTAGATATAGAGCGTTGGCTCTAGTCCAGTTTAAACATTTTGGTCGGCCTGCAGCTTTTATTCACTCAAATTTCATCGAATTGATTGTAATTTAAAGCCGATCATTTAATTGCCCAGTTTAGCATGATTCTTCGATATTTGAGTACTTTTGTGCTTCTTTTGTTATGTGTTTCTCAATCGGGACGAGTTGGCGGTCAATTTCAATGCAAAGACATGAAAAATCAAAATGTTGATTGGTTGGTGGAGTGTATGCAATCATTTTAGTCACATTTTAAAGGGGGAACTACTAAGTGACTAGTGAAATGGGTAGATTCAGGTTTGTTTTCTACAAACTGCCTAAAGTCAAGGGCTCGCCGAGTGACTCAGTGGCGGATGGCACCGCTTTTTTGTACCTCGACAAAAACAATAAGCAATGGGTATGGATTTAGACAAGTTATAAGATTTAGAGCTCAGTCTTATGGCCAAGATCATGGCGAAGATCATGACCAAGATCATGGCTAAGATCATGGCGAAGATCATAGCTAAGCTCATGGCTAAGATCATAGCCAAAATCATGGCCAAGATCATGGCCAAAATCATGGCTAAGATCATGGCCAAGATCTGGTTATAATTGTTGTACCCTTGTGTATCCGTTGATATGTTTGTCTGGTAGATCTAATTGATGTGCGATTGATAGAGAATAGAATGACAGTTAAATTTATTTAAAACAGCAAAACTTGGAATAGAAGAAGAAATTGACCAAAGAAAAATGTTGGGAGAAACAAGTGATAATTTAACGACTACACAACGCTCCTTTAAACGTCGCGACAAAAATGCAAAAGGGCGCGGTTTAGAAAACACGGTCAACACAAATCTGTGGGAATAAGCATACATTCCCAATAATAATAATAATAATAATAATAATAATAATAATAATAATAATAATAATAATAACCAAAGATATCCAGCCAGACAGGTTGTTTCTCTTTTTAGTTCTTTAACAGACTTCAGGATGTCAGCCTTGATTTCTGAATACTTCTTTAGGTGTATACCTGAAGTAGTACTACTTCAGGTTACTAGTAGTACTACTAGTAGTACCTTACTAGTAGTAGTATTACTAGTAAGCGCAAGCTGGAACTAATGCCGAAACTTCAGCTTGAAGAATATTTTAGGTTTACCCAACCATGAACATGTTAGATGGGAATCACGCTATCGCCTACACTCTGCAACAATACTACGATCGACAAGATGACTCGATGGTAAATAAATAAATAGCTTTAAAAAAATACACATAAACTTTATCGATTCACCTTTAAAACATCAATTTTTATAGATTATGTCGATTTTCTACAATGACGAACACCCGGATAACGTCACTTCTTCTAGTTTGGGACATCAAAAAGGTTTGTGTATCGAGGAAAACAAAGAGAAATTGGTGATAAGAAACTGAAAAGGATTGAGCACAATATAGAAAAGGGAAGCTTACAAATTTTTGAAATTTAATGACATCAAAAATGATCTGTAATCTATAAACTTTGCACTGAAAGCACTGAAAGCACTGAAAAACCCACTAACTCGTCACAAAATCAGTTTTTAGACGGCTTTGAAACTTTAGTTTACATTAACTGATCCGCTGGACTTATGAATAAGCTTCACTTT